CTCTCTCCTCGGTTAGAGCTCCTCCAGAGAAGCCTCCCTCTCCTCTCTCCTCGGTTAGAGCTCCTCAGAGAGTCCTCCTCTCCTCTCTCCTCTCTCCTCTCTACCTCTCTCCTCTCTTCCGGTTAGAGCTCCTCCAGAGAGCCTCCTCTCTCCTCTTCTCCTCGGTTAGATTTCCATCGCGAGAGCCTCCTCTCTCCTCTCTCCCTCCTCTCTCCTCGGTTAGAGCTCCTCCAGGAGCCTCCTCTCTCCTCTCTCCTCTCTCCTCCCGGTTTTAGCTCCCTCCAGAGACGCCTCCCGCTCTCCTCTCTCCTCTCTCCTCGGTTATAGCTCCTCCCAGAGAGCCTCCCCTCCTCTCCTCCTCTCTCATCGGTTATAGCTCCTCCAGAGAGCCTTCCTCTCTCCTCTCGTCCGCGGTTGAGCTACTCCAGAGAGCCTCCTTCTACTCCTTTCTCCTCTCTCCTCGGTTTAGAGCTCCTCCAGAGAGCCTCCTCTCTCCTCTCTCCTCGGTTAGAGCTCCTCCAGAGAGCCTCCTCGATGCTCGATGCTCGATCCTCGAAGTGCATTTAGAGAAATTAGATGTCCTTCAACATTGCGCGCTAAAATTCATTTCCGGGTCACTACCGGAGGACCGAGGAGTCGAGGAGTCGAGGAGTCGAGGGGGGGATTTGATTAAATGAGAAAGGGCCTGTGTGTGAAAGAGCTGCTATCTCTCTGCTCACAGCCTCCATCTTCTCCTCCATCTTCCTCCTCTTCTGCTCCTCTTCCTCCCTCAGTGCAGCCATCCTGGCCTCCTCTTCCTCTTCTACTGGTGAAGCTTCTGAAACTGCTCCTTAATCTGCGTCTTGAGCCTGGAGCTTCAGGTGTTCTGCTGTTAGATCAAACTTCACTTTAACTCGTTCAAAAGTCTTTAACTTCTCCTTCATAATTAATAATAATTCCTTACATTTATTATAGCGCTTTATCAATGACTCAAAGCGCTTTACATATACACACACATTACACATATATGATACATGCAATGGTCAGATACTGTGGACAATACCCACAGGAGCAAGTTCAGGTGAAGTGTCTTGCCCAAGGACACACCGGCTTTACAGACGCAGCAGCGGCGGGTTTCACCCCTTGATCTGATGATCATTGCACAGCGCACTGCGCCACACCGTCCATCTTCACGCCTCGAAGACATCGAGGCGCTTTTACAGGTACACATTGGTATTATACATGTACTGTGGACAATACCCACAGGAGCAAATCCGGGTGAAGTGTCTTGCCCAAGGACACAACGGCCTGACGCAGTGGCGGCAGGAGCGGGTTTCGAACTGGAGTTCCCCAGCACTCCCCCTTGATCTGATGATCGGATGCACAGACCACTGCGCCACCCGTCCCTTCAGAGGCTGCAGAGACTTCCGGAGCTCCTTCCTGTGTTGTCGTGCAGCTTCATCGATGGGTCTGAATCTGTGCTCGCTGTGTTTCTCTGAATCTCTACAGACGAGACACACTGGCTGCTGATGGTCCCGACAGAAGAGTGTGAGTCTCTCAGAGTGCAGACTGCAGAGAGCCTCTGGAGGTCTCTGACCTCTCTCCTCTAAGAAACTCTCACACAGGTTCTTTAAAGCAAAGTTAGCAGGAAGTGAGTCCTTTGAATCTCGTCTCTTACAGACCGGACACTCCTTCCCTTCTTTCTCGCTCCACCAGCTCTGCACACAGTCTCTACAGAAGCTGTGGCAGGAGGACAGGATGACGGGATCTCTAAAGATGTCACAGCAGACCGGACAGCTGAGGTCTCTCTCTAAGCTGGAAGCCATGATTCTCCGGTTGAATCTGAAAGCTCGGTCTGTTTGCCTTCAACAGGAAATCAGGTCAACTTGATGATAAGATATCCTCTTCAAAACGTTCTTTTGCAGCTTGTTGAAGTGTCCCCTCCTTACCGTCGCTGCAACAAGTCCTCCAACTCATACGACCAAATATGTTGTTTGTTCAAGTGCCTAATACGACCTATAATTACGTTTTAAAGTTGTCGGCCTCGAGTTAGATTTCTAGCGAGAAGTGTATATTGTACTTTTAGAATCCACGTCCAGTCGATATGTAGGATCTATAGTTAGATATTACGAAGATGATTTGAGGTCTGCGGCAGCCTCCATGTAAAGTTACGGGTTGAAAACAGTATTTCCGGTCTCAACGTTTTCATAATAAAACCAATGATCAAATGATTACACAGTGATGTCTGCAGCACTCATCCACTAAAACACATCAGTTGATCCTAGTTAATTATACGACACGTATTGGTTTAAATTGTGTACAATGCTTTTGTGTTTTTCCCATAGGTTTTTCTCTTTCGATTCTGAGAGACACATTTCTTTTTTCAGAGGTTTTGATAGGCTAAAACATCGAACTACCCATAATCCTGGATGTTTTAGCCGCAATGCATGTTGGGATATGGTGTTTATGTGATATGAAATCGAAAAGAAAACAAATTGAAAATAAAATAATACTTTATTCCGAATGTTCTTGCTTTTCTCTTTGGAAGTCATCACATAACGGCATTGTAATACACGGTTCGGCTGCATTAAATATTACATACAGCTGCCGTAGTTCTTTATTTATAGAGCCCTGATCAGAAGACTTCTGGACAAACAGGAAGAAATGCGGCCAAAACTGAATATGTGACGTGGATCATAAATATATCAGCCATTAAACAACATCTTCCATTTATTTTCACACAATACGTCTCCTTGCAGTATCAACACTAATTCGGCTGACTTTTATATTTGATCTAATTCGTAGATAGTCTGTATTTACACCATAACGGTGCACAGCTGATAGAAAGGGACTTGTCGTTTTTAAAGATATTATTTACTACCTTTCCAACTCCTCATGCAGTTGACTGTTACAGGTCTATACAGGTTCATGGTTCAATGCATAAGCTTCACATCGAGAGACTGAAACTGTGTTTCCTTTACCGTTCTGTTTTCATCTCACAATAAAGTTAATAGTCATATTATGTTTGATATTATTATGTTTTATTAACTACACCACTGGTTTTTTAAACCGCACCGCCTAGTGGTTAACGCACGCTATTGCATTTTATTGTTGAATACGTTTTATTTGATGAAAACATTTAAATATTAAGAGTAGCCTACATACAACATAGGGGTCAATGATAGAAATATAGAATAGAAAATATCAAGAAGATACTGTAGTGATCTCTACAATAAAACAGTTGAGTGCAGGACGTCCAAAGACATTAACAGGAGGATGTGCAAAACAGACCAACTGATAAGGCTTTATTTAAACATTAAAGAATACTTTAAGTTAAAGGGGACCTATCATGCAAAATGCACTTTGTGATGTCTTTTATACATCAACATGTGTCCCGGTGCGTCGGGGAACTCACGCAGCGTCAGTAAATAAAACCCTCTCTCTTTTCCTCCGTACCCACATCTGAACTGAACTGACGTGTCCATCCGTGGTGACGGCGGCGGACCCACAGAGAGTTGCTATCAGAAACAATGCTTGACGTGTTTTGGAGGTAATCTCGTCTTTGTTTACATTAGCAAGCCTCGCTAACACTCAGAGCTAACCTGTACTGGAGAGCACATGTGTTTAAAAAGCAGGAAATAAAAAGGAACTCACCTTGTGATAAACCCGCAAGAGAAAAAGCATTTGAGCTCCATACTGTTTCAGAGATAATCCTTGATGTGGTTTAAACAGGATGGCGTTTTATCACAGCAGAATTTAACTTTATCTCCGGTAGAATTCTGATCAGGCATTAGCTCCGCCTCCTCTTCTTTCTTTTTTTTCAAGCTAAGGACCCAGAATCTGCGTTTCTCTATCAGGGCTTCAAAAGAGGGGTTTGAGCAGTATGAGGCGTGGCTGCAACGGTGATCTGTTTGGGACTTGAAGCAAAAAACTTCACAGACATGTTTTGTATAGGTATGGCCCTACAATATATGTTTCAAATATAGCATGATGGTCCACTTTAAGGTCTTCTTTTGAATAAGAAAAAACGTTGGGGTTATCCACAGATAAATATGAAGTCTGACAAAGTACTTAACGTCCAATATATTGCATAGTTTATTTTGTCACTTGACAATCACCTTCCCTGAATTTGACTCAGGTTTAACTAAAGTCTGACTTAAGGGTTGTTTATATTTCACATCATTAATCAGAATCTGCAAAGTAACTCAAATAAATGTAGTGGAGTAAAAATACCAGGTTAACCTCTGAAGTGTAGTGGAGTAGAACAAAGTAGTACATGCTGCTGTAACAACAACATTTCCCAACTTGGGATCAATAAAGTATCTTATCTTAAGATGATCGATGGCTACTGCCGTATTTGCTAAATGTGCCTCTGAACCTTGACAAGTGCATGTTTCAGGCTCATCAATGAACAACAGGAGGGGTCACAGACATAAGACCAGCTGTTAAAGCTCTTCTGACCTTAGCTGGCATGTGGGTATATTAATGCTGCCCATTATGGGCACAAGCAATTTTCACCCATTTATTAATTATATGTTTTAAATGAGTGTTTCCTATCCCCTAAACCTCCAGGGTGTACACAGTTTAAAACTGGCAACTTCTAATTGTGGGAAATACGAAAACGTCTTTTAAAATTACAATTCCCAGTAGAGCCGTGCCATAGAACATGGTGCGAAACACACAATAGCCAGCATGTGTAGTTCTGGGGGGGGGGGAGGGGCTGGGCCATGGATTTATGGGCTGGACCCGGGGGCTGGACCCGTCCAAGTCCAGTTTTGGAAAGTCTGCCGTGGCTCCATTCCATTTCAAAGAGCTGTTGTTGCTCAGCGTAACCTTGTCGCACTGCCACTCCAACATCCAATCACAGGGCTTGAGGGCTAATCACGGGGTTTGTAAAGCAAGGCGGATGTTGTAGTCCCAAACGATAGCTGGGGATTCTGGGTAGTGTAGTGTCTTCGGAAACTCTGTCGTGTCTAAACTCCTAAAAAACAATTTGTTTCTTTCAATCGAAGGTTAAAAACACAAAAGCATTGCACACAATTTAAACCAATCAATGTTGTGTAATTAACAAGGATCAACTGATGTTTCTTAGTGGATGAGTGATGCAGATATCACTGTGTAATCATTTGACAGTGTGGGGAATACTTCCGGTTTTATTATGAAAACTTCGAGACCGGAAAAACTGTTTTCACCCACGCTAACTTTACATGGAAGCTGCATCACGTTCTCCTGGCGAGACCTCAGATCATCTTCCTAATATCTATCAAACTGTAGATCCTACACATCGACTGGACGTAGATTATAAAAGTACAATATACACTTATCGTCAGAAATCGAATCAAAAAGCATTTTAATGGCCAAACTATTCCACAATTTAGGATTTTCCAGAGAGGGTTATTTGTGAATAAACGACCCTCCGGAGCGTTTGCAATCGACAGGAGCATGTTGTTTCTTACACGACCACTAGAGGTGCTACACTTTAAAACGTGACTGGGTCGTATTTAGCTGCTGAACAATCGACCTATATGGTCGTTTTTTGTAGGAGGACAGGCTGCGTCTGTGAGCGGACAGACCGTCTCTCGGTGTCTGCTGCACAACAGGCGACCTTTGTCCTCTTGTTAGGAGCGGCAGGTGCGTCACATGAGGTTTGTTCGCACACTTGGAATTTGGACTTATTTTTAAGGATTTTTCTACCTTTTTGAATAGAAAGTAAAAATGACAGTAGAGTAGATTCATAAACAGATGGTGGTGCAGTCTGTGGGGGGTTTGATATCACGTAACCTCCTGTTGTGTTTCTGAGGTCTGAACTTTGCTCAGCCCTTATCATTTTGTGGTTTTAGCACTCAGAGTTGCCTGTGAGGAAATCTCATAAGACTAAGTAGACTTTGAGTCTTTTGTTAATCTAGTATCTCCAGGGTCAAAGTTAACCCCTCAATGAAGCTCTGAAAATGTGGATAAATGTCTTAATTGAAGCTAAAGCACTTCTGAACTCTTATATCTATGGTTATATATATATACTTATTTTAAGTTGCTGTGGATAAAAGCATTTGCTAAACCAAATGTAATGTAAAGACAAACACGAACTGGGTATGTTTACTCTACTTTTGATCTACTGTGGCCCACAAACAGACACCTTCAGGATACAGTCAGATACACATTGTTAGTAGTAGCTCAAATTATCACCAAGCTTTTATGTTGCCTGAAAAAAGACAAAACAAGAACATGTGGGAACCTTTCAAGAGAGGATTGTGGCAAAAGCAAAACCTCCCAAATCAAAACCAACCGAGGGAACGAGGAGCTTTGGAGCCTCATGTATAACGCTGTGCGTAGGATTCACGTGGGAAGGTTGCTTACGTAGTAGAAATAAAAAAAATAGGTAGACATTTTCTGACATTTTCCGATTCACCAAACATTGCGTACCGGCGAGGAAAGTGCGTACAGCACTTCCTACGCCGGCTTCCCTTTATAAATCACAACCGACTCGAAATGCGGTGCAGCTTTTGCGGGCTTCACGTAACGCCCATATTGGCCTATAAATAGTCAAAGAAACGCCCATTCATTCATTCTGACTGACTGCAGGAAGGAGATCGCAGGAAATGAGGACAGAAAGCTAAAACAGACGTCTCACACCGTGTCAGATGTGGGTTATTTTGGGGAGGTGGAGATAAATCATATTGTTTGGTGGATGCAGTTTGAACCAGAGGAGCAGCATGGAGGTCGGATCGTCACCAAAATAAATAAATAAGTGGTCCGAAAAAGGTTCATGACAAAAAGAAGACACACAGCCTTCCTCAGACAGTGTGTTTGCACCGGGGACAGGAGACCCCCCC